CGAGGACGCCGACCTGGAAAAGAACCCCTCCAAGAAGAAGACGAGCTGGATCCCAGAGCCTTGTTTAAAGAAAAAAGTCGACCTGACCGAGCTGAACCTGGGGAGGACGTGGAGTTAATCTATATTGACGAACCAATTTTCCACAAGTCACTACGTATCGGAAATCATCTTCAGGAACCACTTCGGTCTGACCTTATTGCGTTTCTCAAGCAAAATTCTGATGTCTTCGCTTGGAAGCATGAGGACATGAAGGGTATTTACCCCGGTGTCGCAAGCCACAAACTAAACCTCGACCGAACAGTCCGACCAGTTGTACAAAAGAGAAGGAAACTGGGGCCAGATCGTCAGAAGGCATTGGAAGAAGAAGTCAAAAAATTAGTTGACAACAAATTCATCAAGGAAGCCAAATACCCGACGTGGGTCTCAAATCCAGTGCTTGTTAAGAAGAGTAACGGGCTGTGGCGATTGTGTATTGACTTTTCCGATCTCAATAAGGCGTGCCCAAAAGATAGTTATCCACTTCCTCATATCGATTATATGGTCGACGCCACGTCGGGACATGAATTGATGAGTTTCATGGACGCTTACTCCGGTTACAACCAAATTCCCATGGACCCCGAGGACTCTGAACACACTTCGTTCTATTCGGCCCGAGGTCTGTATTGTTATACTATGATGCCGTTCGGACTAAAAAACGCCGGAGCCACGTATCAACGTCTGGTCAACAAGATGTTCGCACCATTGATCGGACACACTATGGAAGTGTATGTTGACGACATGCTCGTCAAGTCGGTACACGCCTCTGACCATATAACGCATCTCAAAGACATGTTCGCCATCCTTCGAAGTTATTCCATGGTACTGAACCCGAAGAAATGTACTTTTGGAGTTGAATCTGGAAAATTTCTAGGTTACATGGTAAGCCAGCGCGGGATAGAAGCCAATCCGGCCAAGATAAAGGCCATTCAAGATCTAACTCCCCCAACCTCGGTCAAGGGCGTCCAGGCCCTAACCGGCCGACTTGCTGCACTCAACCGATTCATCTCCAAGTCTACCGATCGTTGTAAGCCGTTTTTTGAAGCAATCAAGAAAGGGAAACGTTTTGAATGGACTGAGGAATGTCAGAAAGCCCTTGACAATCTCAAAGAGACGCTGATTTCTCCCCCGACTTTGCAAAAACCGAAACCCGAGGAGATGTTGTTCTTGTACCTCGGAGTTAGTGAATCCGCCATTAGCGCTGTCTTGATACGCGAAGAAGGGTTGCTCCAATCACCCATCTATTATGTTAGCAAGGCCTTGCACGATGCCGAACTACGTTACCCTCCGATGGAGAAGTTAGCATTTGCACTTGTGACAGCAGCCCGGAAATTACGACCGTATTTTCAAGAGCATTCTGTGACTGTCCGGACTTCATACCCACTCCGGCAAATTTTGCACCGACCCGACACTTCGGGGCGCATGGTTAAATGGGCCATCGAGCTCGGACAGTTCGACATCCACTATCAACCGAGGACTGCAATCAAAGCACAAACCTTGTCTGACTTTATCGCCGAGTTTACCCCGGCAATCACAGTACATTGCAAAAATCACCCCTGGGTCCTCTATATTGATGGTTCTTCAACAGCCAACCGAGCAAGAGCAGGGATAGTCTTAGCTGACCCAGAGAATCGGTTGTTCTGTCATTCGGTAAAATTCCTCTTTCCAGCAACCAATAATGAGGCCGAGTATGAGGCATTACTGTCCGGACTGAATTTGGCAGAATCCATGAACGTGACCCACCTTAAAGTTTTCTCAGACTCCCAACTCCTCGTCAGTCAAGTCAATGGCTCGTACGAAGTCAAGGAACCTCGGCTGACACCTTACCTCGCTTTGGCTAAACGGAAATTATCAAAATTCTCCGCCGACCTCGAGCATATCCCCCGAAGTCTCAATGTTCAAGCAGATGCCTTATCTCGACTTGCGTCCAGTACCGGGATGGAGAGCGCGGAGTATATCCAAGTCGGCCAACAAGAACAACCGTCAACTGCCCTATCCGAGGTCACTACCATCAACCCAGTGACGTTGCAAAAATCACCAACTTGGATGGAACCTATTATCAACTACCTGGAAACTGGGGCCCTACCTCCGAACCCAAAAGAAGCTCGAGCACTTCGGATTCGGGCAGCTCGGTACACATTAGACAACGGAACTCTGTTCAAAAGGGGATACTCCGTTCCACTTTTGAAATGTGTAAGTGAAGCTGACTCACGGTACATTCTTGAAGAAGTCCACGAGGGGATTTGCGGAAGTCACCCCGGTGCACAAGCATTATCTTATAAGATCCTGCGGCAAGGTTATTACTGGCCAACTTTGAAGACCGACGCCGCCATGTGGGTGCGCAAGTGCCCGAAATGCCAAATGTTTGCCCCTAACATTCATCAATCTCCTGAAGAACTAAAATCCATTTACAGTCCGTGGCCATTTGCCAAATGGGGGATTGATCTTATTGGCCCTCTACCAACCGGAAAGGGAGGTGTCCGGTTTGCTATGGTGGCAGTTGACTATTTCACTAAATGGGCCGAGGCTGAGCCGTTGGCCACGATAACCGAACAGAAAGTCGTAGATTTTGTATGGAAGTCAATTATCTGTCGCTTCGGTGTACCGAATTCCATCATAACCGACAACGGCAAACAATTTGAAGGCAAACGACTTGAATCTCTGTGTGAGGAATACAACATCAAACACTTTTTTTCATCTCCCTACCATCCGCAGTCCAACGGTCAGGTCGAAGCCGTAAACAAACTCATAAAAAATGGTCTCAAACTCCGACTTGACACCGCCAAAGGAGCTTGGCCCGAGGAGTTGCCACATGTCCTGTGGGCTTACCGGACTACCGCACGGACGTCCACCGGCGAAACCCCATTTTCTTTGACTTACGGTTCCGAGGCCGTAGTCCCGGTAGAACTCGGAGAACCGACTTACCGAATTCAACACTTCACCGAAGAAGCCAACTCGGAAAACATGAAGGCGAATCTGGACCTACTAGAAGAACACCGAATCCGGTCCGAACTCAAGAATGCTGCATACAAGCAAAGACATGAAAAATATATCAACTCTAAACTCAAGCCCCGTGCATTCCGAATTGGAGATTTGGTCCTCAAGCGTATCATGGGGCCTGACCCCGGACCACTCAAACCGCGGTGGGAAGGACCCTTTCAAATCATCAAGATCCTGCCTCATGGGGCCTACCGAATTGCTCATCCCGATGGAACACCACATCAATATCCTTGGAACGCGGTGTACCTGAAAAAATTTTATCAATGAAGGATCCGAAGTCGCATAATCGACCTCCCTTTTATACGGACCTTCTCTTTTGCCTCGGTGAACGCCTAAAATCACCTCTTTTGATGCATTGATGTACCGAATAGTCGAGCAGCAAGCTCGATACCGATGTAAACCTTTTGCAAACATGGTTATCAATATTATGCCGAAGTAAATATTGCGACACTCGGCCTAGCTGATACCCTGTAATACACCCAAATCCCACGTATGGTTTGGTCGGGGTTGAAGCTCGTCAAACGTCACTTCAGCTAAAAATGATTTGGCGGGTCCCGATAATCACCGAACACTTATTCAAATAATTCGGTTGGGACCGTTCCATAATCGGACTCTGACGAAGTCCGGTGATTCCCATTTTATTTCCCGTACAGCCCTAAAAATGTGTTGAGTTTTGCGAAGTTATTTGAAAACTCGCATAATCGACTCACACTTGTGGCTGAAATTCTTATAAAAGATCAAAGTGGAATTCGGAAGTTATCTTTATAAAACCTTACAACTCGGATCATGATTTAAGTAATTCCGAGTTGAAGCAGTTTACTTACTGAAAGCCGAATTCAAAACACTTGGTCGAAAATCGCTGAAAGTTGAACGGCAAAACATACAAACAAAATCAAACATATTCAAACACTTCATATATAATATTATTGCGAAATCCAGGGAATCCCTTACATCACATTTCATATTTCCTACTAAGGGAGTCGGCTATCCAACATCCCCGATTACATACCATCACTTCCAAATATTCCCTACTAAGGATGCCGACATACCGACACCCCGATTACATTACTTAAAATACCTCAAGAAAAACATTCAAAAACACAAAAACAAGCAAAATATCCTAAACATCTTCAGCCGGTTTTTCCACATTGCCTCCGGAGCCGCTGCCTTCTCCGACTTCAAAACCAGAAGATAATCGTTCCAAGACCTGCGATTCCTTTGCTTTAACAGCAGCTTCAATGGCCCCATCTGGCACCGGAATGAACTCGTCACGAGGATCAGACAAACTCCTCACTTCATCCTCAGCCGGTGTGACGGTCTTCACAAACTCCACCTCCTTGTCGGCCGACTTAGCTTTTTCATCAATGAAAGCATGGACCCTGTCCGGAATCTGCTCCGGAGTCATATCATCAAAGTGTTGTTCGACTTCTAATTCGGCGAGGGTGGAAAGATACACATCAGCCAGCTCCTTCCTTTTTTGTTTCTCCTCCTCCAAAATCATGTTGACGTAGGCACGTCGGAGGAGAGCAGCCCTATCTTCGGAGAGTGCTGGCAAGTCAGGGTTCACCTCCTCTGAACGGCGGAGCATCCATACACAAAATTCTCGCTCATCTTCATCGGCCGCAACGTGCATTCCTTTTATTTCTGAATCGAACCCATACTTCTCCAGCTTATGGAACAGAAACAAGCGGAGGTCGTCGATATTGTAGTAGCCGGCATCATAGCGTTCGATGATCCACCTTAAGTTCAGACATGTGTTCATCTCAATCTCGAGGTCGGGACCACCAGCTTCATCCTCTTCGCCGGCCACATCAGCATCCACCTCGGCGTTATCTCCGGACTTCGGCTCCACAACCACCGAATCTTTCCCGGCCTGAAATCCATTCTCATACATGAATTCACCATAAGTAGACTTCTCCTTCTCCAGCTTGGCTATGTCGGCCTGATGAGCGTCGTGCTGCCTGCCCACAAGTTCGCGAGTCTCGGCACATTCTTTCCGAACTGCTTCATGATTGGCTTTCTCCTCTGATAAGGCCCGCTCAGTTTCGGCCAGTTTTGCTTCAGAAATCTTGAAATGCTGCTCCACCACGGCGAGACGAGCTCTGAGATCGGCCACCTCGGCCTCGAAGGACTTCTTCTCCTCGGACAATGCCGACGTCTCCATCTTTGCCTTCTCCAATTCGGCAGTCTTCTCCGCAATCTGGCCCTTCAAATCGGCCTCCATTTTTGTGGATTCCTCCTTCAACTGAACAATCACCGCGTCGCGAGTAGCTATGATATCCTTCTTCCCTTCCAGCTGCGACGTAACTCGGCGATGGTCATCCTCGGCTGCCACTAAACTAACCAAGGCTCGGCCAACACATGCCTTGGCGTAATTCAGCCTGTCAACACTGGACAGGGAAGAGACTCCTACCTCGGACTTGGGGTCCCAAACCATCAACGGGACCCGAGCAGCATCCTTCGCATTTTCCGGCATTTCGATCCTCGATGACATATGGGGAGATTTCACTGACAAGAAAGTGGAAAACCAATCTTCCACCACACCCTCGGGCACCTTAACTTTCGCAGCCCGTTCTTCATCAATTGTTAAAAAGGATTTCTCAAATAAGGGCGAATCATCGGTACCTTTTTCAGTCACCTTACGGCCGGAGTCGCGTTTTTTCTTAGACCTTTTCTCCACCTCGGACGAAGGACCGACGTCCGCCATCTTCACCAGCTTTCTCTTCTTTCTCCTCTCCGGTTGCTCCAATTCAAGTGACTTCGGGGACGCTGGCGGCACCTCGGTGTGGGCAACCTCAGTAGAAACTATTTCAGTCCCGGCAATAACTGGCTCCGGATCAGCCTGATTGATCGCCACAGCTTCTACTACCGACAACACCTCGGTAGTCGCCACCTCGGGCATAGACTTCGGACTCCCCGGCATGGCAGCCGAAGTGGCACTCGACCCCACCTCGGTCGGTTTTTTCCCAACATTCTTCTGACCAGCTGTCTTCTTCACCAATGCGCGGACAAGATCCCTCCTCATGGCGTCGTTTAATCTCAAGTCACGACTCTTACCGACTTTAGATTGAAGGTCTTTGTTCGGAAATTTACGTCTGAACTCTTTGGCTTCTTTGACCGAGCTGTAGCCCAAGAAACCGAGGAGAGGATAATATACTGCATATTAACAAGAGACGAGAGTTATAAACAGTTGTGTCATATGTACAAGAAAATTTGACATTTTTTACCGGATAAACTTCTCTTACCGGGGTCAAATTTCGATGTCGTAACTCCCAAAGACAAGCCAGCCGCTTCGAGTTTCGAATCAACCATAAGCTTGCGATAATCCCTCTCTGCTTTATCCAAACCGGCCAAGGTTATCAATTTCCCACCGAACTCCGGGCTCAACTTCGGTTCTTTTTGCTTTGTCTCTTTTTCTACAACAGAGTAAAAGTTCCGACCTGTTAGTACACAGAACAATACGAGAATCAGATAAGCATATCCGAATTGACAAAACAGAAAATAAACTCACTGGCTCCGGAATGAATTAACATAGGTATTGTCATCCCATCAATTCGGCGTTCATGAAAGAAGTCCACCGACTGCCATTCTCCGCCTATCCACACCCATTCCTCCTGAAAACCGTGGAGACTCTCCGGAATC